GGGAGTTGAAGTCCACAAGTCTTCAAGTGGCCAAGGTTGGACACCCCTGCTGTAAACATTCTGAGGAAAAAAGGAAAAAAAGGGAGGGAAGGAAGGAAGGAAGGAGAGGGGAAGAAGGAAGAACGAGGGGAGGGGAGGGAAGGAAGGAGATGGGAAGAAGGAAGAACGAGGGGAGGGGAATGAGGAAAGAAGGAAAAAATAGGGAGGGAAGGAAGGAGATGGGAAGAAGGAAGAACATTGGGCGGAGAGGGGAATGAGGAAAGAAGGAAAAAAGGGAGGGAAGGAAGGAGATGGGAAGAAGGAAGAACGAGGGGAGGGGAATGAGGAAAGAAGGAAAAAAGGGAGGGAGGGAAGGAAGGAAGGAGAGGGGAAGAAGGAAGAACGAGGGGAGGGGAATGAGGAAAGAAGGAAAAAATAGGGAGGGAAGGAAAGAAGGAAGGAAAATGGGAGGGAAGGTGGGAGAAAGAAGGTGAAAATTTCGACTTTCCCCTTTAAAGGCCAGGCTTTTGTCATAAATATTAAAAGAAAGGACTTACATTGAGGAGTTCTTAAAATCGTTATTTTTATTAATAATCAGCCAGCCAGCCAAAATGTTGTATCACTGGCAAATCCATTTATTTCCGAGATGCACTGCTAGGAAACAAATCTTTTAAAGCAGCCTTTCCAAGAGTAAGTTCAGGACCTGTTATAGGTAGTCCTCGACTTACGACTGTAATGGAGCCTGCCCATTGTGGGCGCAAGTCAAGACAGTCGTTAAGCAAGGCGCTCACATGATCATCTCATGCAATGACCACAATTGAGCCCAACATTTCTGTTGCTAAGTGAGATAGTCGCTAAATGAGATGGTCGCTAAGTGAGCTTTGCCCTGTTTTATTACTTTTCTTGCCACCGTTGTTAAGTGAATCACTGCAGTTGTTCACTTAGTCACATGGTTGTTAAGCGAATCTGGCTTCCCCGCTGACGTTGCTTATCAGAAGGTTGCAAAAAAGGGGACCATGTGATCCCAGGGCCCTGCAACAGTTGTAAGTACATGCCAGTTGCCAAGCCTCCAAATTTTGATCATGTGACCATAGGAATGCTGCAACGGTCATAAATCTCTTTTTTTTAGTGCAGTTGCAACTTTGAACAGAAACATTGGCTTTTTGCAGAAAGAAACGATGCTAAATAGGAAAATAACATGGTCAAACTCTCATTGTCAAATGTTCTATAGATGGCACTTACCACCTGCTAGGTTAGCTAACACGTTTAAAAATATGTCTAGCAAATGTTGGAAATGTAATTTTAAAAAACAGGCACATTTTTTTCATATGTGGCAGACTTGTGTTACAGCAAAAAAATGGGCAAAAATACACAGATGGATAGAAAAGATAATAGGGCAACATGTAGATCTCAAAGCTGAACTGTTTTTATTAGGGGTGATATCAAAAAAATTGATAAGAAAAGTATGTATTTAATATTACAGCAAGGATTATCTTTGCACAATATTGGAAAAATGAAGAAACGCAGCAAGATGAAGAGATAATTAAGATATTAAATTGTGCAGAAATGGACAGACGGACATTGAAAATCAGACAGAAATCAGACACAGAATATTATCAAACACGGAACTTATTCTACCGATGGCTGGAAAAAAGGAGTGGAGAGAGTAAGAAGGTAAATTTGTATTGTTAAGAAATTTAAATACCCAGATAACATGACGTTTATTGAGCACTAAGAAGTGTAATCATAGAAAATAAAATTTATTTTAAAAAATACCCTCTCAGTGTCAGATGTTTGTTAAGAACATTTGTACAAGTCCGTGCATGAGAGCTACCTGTACAAACATTCTTAACGAACATTATCTGACAATGAAAGTTTGACCAAGTTTTATTTAGCTGTTTAGTATAATCTTTGGCTGCAAAGGATTCCAGGTGTTTATTCGGGGGCTTCTATTTAGGATCCCTGGCGTTTAATTTTTTTATCTCTGTTTGGAAACTGGAGCATTCATGTTGCACTTAAAAAGAAAGATTTTTCCGTAACTGCAGTTGTGAAGGGGGGTGGGGGGAACAGATTCACAGAAGGGTGAAAATATTTCTGGCTGCCACCCCACCCCAAAAAAATAAATTCTCAAAATACTCTGAAAATACAGTTCAAGGCAAGTTCAGTCACGCTGTCATGGAATTTTATTTTATTTTTGTTTATCAAGTTCAGATGTCTATGGATGCCCATCTCAAGACATCGTCCTGCGTCCGATACAGAGATGGGGCCAGGACCATCTGGGAGTCGGGTGCTGCCTCCGGAGCCTCCAGAATCTGACAATAGCGAGGCCGAGGAACAAGGGTAGCCTGTTCCCAGTGCGCACATGCGCAGAGCTGCCAGAAGGCGAGAGCAGCTGAAGCAGAAGGGGCAACTCTGGAGTAAGGTTGGGAGGTGATTGCTCCTCCCAGAAGAGATAAAAGTCAGGCCAAGATGATGAAACCTTTGCAGGAAGCAAAGTCATTCGTTCGGTTCAGATTCATTCTTGAAGCTCTTGGTACTTCGGTTGGATTTTTTTTCTAGTTCATTTGACACGTCTGTTATGAGCAGCCATTCAAAGGAGAGAGAGGTGGGTGCTTATCTCGAGGGACTGTTTGAGATTCATTACTGGCTGGGAATGAAAACAATTCCCAGCGTTGCAATAAAATAAGTCTTGTTTTAAAGTAAGCGTGCGCGTAATCACGGTTTAGGAAACCTGGGTCAGAACAATTTTACGATTTTTTTTATCACAGTTGTTAAATGAATCACTGCAGGTGTTAAATTAGTCGGTTGTTAAGTGAATCTGGCTTCCCCATTGATTTGGCTTATCAAGAGGTCGCAAAAAGGGATCATGTGACCCTGAGAGACACTGCAACTGTCATAAATGCGAGCCAGTTGTCAAGTGTTTGACACTTTTTTTCAGTGCCGTTTGTAACTTTGGCCCCTAATGGCTGTATGTCGAGGACTACCTGTACTTCCACCCAATTGATTCAAAACTCAGACTCAAATCTCATTGGTGTCAACTAAAAAATATTCCTTTGGTCTTTTTAATTGCCAGCAGAAAGGGAGTGGGGGAAAGCAGTGCATTCCTTAAATGCCTCAGATAATCACCTTGGCAGCCGAAGCTGTTGGCGCGCAAGATTATTACTGGAGAGCATGATTGAAGACTCTTGGCTATGGGTGTGTCCCATTGGAGAATATACATCCAGGGGGTGGGGGGAAGACCAGGGTCAAGGGGGAAATGAAGGATGCATTTTAGTGTCGGCTGCACTCAGCTAACGCCGACATGGCCACTCCTAATAAATCAATCTTTTTTTTTACTGAGAGAGACTTAAGATTTGAATGGGGGTGGATTTGTCGGAGCCCTGACAACTGGATCATTTAACCTGAACCTCAGTCTCATTTTCTGCATCGCTTCCAATTCAGATACGGGTCATAATTTAATTTTTTCCCCCTCGTTCTGGAAATATTCCTCAGCTGGAATTTACCGGACAGGAAAAGTGGCCCAGCAGTCCAATGGCTGTCTGTTCAGACGCAGCTCTCGGCCATCTTCTTCTTCCTGCACCAGGCCAGTTTTGGGCTCTGGGGAAATCCTGGTTTGTGTGCCCAGTGGACTCCCGGCTCTTCCGTGGGACCGTTGTTGACAGTGGACGCCCGCCCAGAGGCCACGTGGGCAGACGGTGCTTTGGCCAACTTCCTGCCTGCCCGGTAGCGTGAAGAGCAGAAGCAGTAGACCAGCGGGTCGAGGCAGGTGCTGAGGAGGCCAAAGAGGAAGAAGATATGGCCCAGTGAAGGCGGCACCTGCTCCCGGGTCAGCATCTCGGGCGAGAACCAGTACCAGAGGCCCAGCAGGTAGTAGGGCGTCCAGCAGGCGACAAACGTCAGGATGGTGATGGCCGACATCTTCAAGGCACGGAGCCGGATTTGAGGGATGTTATTGTGTGAACAACGCAGGCGGAACTCCCTGGATTTCGGTGACGCTGCAAGAAAAAGAAGGCGACAGTGAGAGAGCCGTGTTTTAGGGTTATGTTGTGGCCTGTCGGCCGCCAGCCTCTCCAGCAGCTGAATCAGAGGAGGAGGAGGAGGAGGAAGAGGAGGCAGAGTGGGAGTCAGGGTCAGCATCAGAGCAACCGGGGAGCTCCGAGGGGGAAGAGGGAATGGAGAGGCCGAGGCGGAGCCTGGGCCGTCCGTCAGCCCTCAGATGGAGAGTCCACAACCCCCAGGTCTGGACGTGGCTGATGGGGAAGAGGAGGAACAGCCGGGTCCAGTGCCTGATGCGCAGCTGCACAGAAGGCAGAGGAGAGGAGGGCAGTGGAGCTCTATGGGCCGGTCCTTGGAATAGAAGAGCCATCGCTGCTAGCGAAGCCCCACTCGAGCTCTGGGGATCAAAGGCAGAGGATGGAAACGAAGAGATGTGGCAGACCACGATCCACAGGGGGCGGAGATTAATAGGGGTGGCAGACCACGATTCACCTCCCCTGCAGGACAGACTTGTTAGCCTGCGGGGAGAGAGCAAACCAGGATTGGCTCCATTCGGAAAGGATCCTAAGCCCCAAGGAAACCAGGTGTATCTGGATGTGAGGTCCTTCAAGAGCCAAACGGTAAAGATGCCAAGCTAGAAACTGGGAGTTGGGGAGTTCTTGTCCCCCCTTGGACACGAGAACGGTCTTTCAACCAATCACTAGGAAACGGGGAGTTCTAGTTCCATCTTAGGCACAAAAGCCAGCAGGTTGACTTTCAGCCAATCATCAGGATAGGGTGAGAGTTCTAGTCCCGCCTTGGGCATGAAAGCCGGCTGGATGATTTTTTGGGGGCCAATCACTAGGAGATGGAGAGTTCTAGTCCCGCCTTGGGTAAGAAAGCCAACTGGGTTGACTTTGGGCCGTTCCTTTCCTCTCTCAGGCCAGCCCACTTCACGGGGTCGTTGTGGATAAGAAAGCAAGATGGCGGAAGCAATATTTGCCATCTTGAGTTATTTATAAAAACCACCCCTTTGCAGCGGACCATGCACCCCCTTTCCAGGGAAGCCCCCCCCCCCTTGCCGGTGCATGCCGAGAGGTCTCACCCCGCGCTTGGGTCATCTTTCGTGAGATCTCGATCAGGATGCGGGAATAACAGAGCACCATAACCAGGAGAGGCACCAGGAAGAGGCCAGAGAAAGTGAACATGTTGTAGAGGGTTTCCTGCCAGTGCGCCCCAAAGCTGCCCACAGTGGCGCACTGGATGAAATGGGTGGGCTGGGACCGACTGACCGTGTGGAAGACAAACATCTGCAAAAAGAAAGGCCGTTTCCCATACGAAGCACACATACCCACAAACACAACAGAGAAAGATTACGGTTTAGATTTCAGTTCTGTTAGAGGCAGCGTTTCTCCAGCCTCTTTTAAGACGTGTGGACTTCAACTCCCAGAATTCCATACACCCTACGCCATTTCTGACGGATAACAGAGCTGGAAGGGACCTGGGAGGTCATCCAGTCCAACTCCCTGTCCAAGCAGGAGACCCTACACCATTTCAGACAAATGATTGTCCAATCTCTTCTTGAAAGCCTCCAGGGATGAACTTCTGAAGGCAACTTCTGTTCCAGGGGTGGTTTGTTCTCCCTGTCAGGAAATTCCTCCTTATTTCCAGGTTGAATCTCTCCTTGATCAGTTTCCATCCGTTATTCCTTGTCTGGCCTTCAGGTGCCTTGGAGAATAGCCTGATCCCCTCCTCCTCTCTGTGGCAGCCCCTCAAATATTGGAAGGCTGCTCTCCTGTCTCCCCTGGTCTTTCTCTTCCCTAGACTAACCAGGACCAGTTCCTGCAACTGTTCTTCATATGTTTTAGCCTCCAGTCCCCTCATCATCCTGGTTGCTCTTCTCTGCACTTTTTCTAGAGTCTCAACATCTTTTTTATGATGTGGTGAACAAAATTGGATGCAGTACTCTAGGTGTGGTCTTACTCAGGCTTCAAAGAGTGGTATTAGTACCTCCCTTGATCTCGATTGTGTCCCTCTGTTAATGCAATGTAGGATTGCATTGGCTTTTTTGGCTGCTGCTGCACACAGCTGGCTCCTATTTAGCTGGTTGTCCACTAAGACTCCAAGATCCCTCTCCCAGTTAATGCTATTGGGCCTGGTTTCTCACCCAGTCTGTATGTGTACTTTGGGTTTTTCTTTCCAAAGTGTAGGACAGTGATGGCTAACCTTTTCAGCGCCAAGGGCCCAAAGCACGCGCGCATCCCCAAAATGCAACTCCGTGCATGTGCACGCAACCACCCCCACACCCCATGCATGCATGCGACCTCCCCTGCCCTGTGCATGCACGCACAACCCATGCGTGTGCGTCCTGATCTCCCCATTTGTGGCAGACCCGAAGATCAGCTGGCCGGTGGGGCGTGCATGCAGAGCTGAGCTGGGGCAACGGCTCACGTGCTCAGAGCGAGGGCTCTGCGTGCCACCTCTGGCATGCGTGCCATAGGTTTCCCATCACAGGTGTAGGGCTTGACTCTTCTCTACATTGAGTTTCGTTTTGTGAGGTAGATACGGGTTCTCCTACCTACCTGAGGTACCGCTAGGAGGAAACTGAGGGCCCAGGCCACACACAGCATTGCCTTGTTCTTCCTCTTGGCTCTGCTGACCCTCAGCGGGTACAAGATGGCGGCCCAGCGGTCCAGGCTGATCACGACCGTCACAAAGGAGCAGGCGTACATGGCCACCAGCTTGAAAAACATCAAGAGCCGGCAGGCCAGGTCGCCGGCGTACCACTGAACGGTCACATTCCACGCGGCATCCAGCGGCATCACCACGAAAGTGACCAGAAGGTCAGCCACCGCCAGGTTCACGAGGAGGATGCGGAGATGCGGCTTGCGTTGAAACCTCTTGGTGACGCTCCACAGCATGGAGACATTGACGCCGGTGGAGCAGAGGAAGAGGACCATGGTGAGGGCGACGCGGATTTTGGCCGCCGTGGAGAAGGTGGGCAGCTGGGAGCCGCTGCTTCTGGGAACCTCACTGGGGCTGGGGATCCCATCCGTGCTGTTGGATCTCCCATGGTCCCAGAGAGTGGCATTCATCGGCTCGACCAACGTCAAGGCTTCCCAAGAAAGGAAGAGCATCCTTCACCGGAGAGGTCCATCCGCTGGACCGGGGCTTCCCACTCAGGAAGGGCCCTCTCTGGCACACGGGGACGTCCGACTTTTCAAAGAGCTTGGAAGAAGCAGGAGGACATGGCTTCCTACTCAAGACTGTCAACTCATAAAATGTTTCTCTGGTCTTTTTAAGAGTTGGCAACAGAAAGGGAGCAGGGAGCAGTGCGGCAGCTTGGAAATCGAAAGTGCATTCCATAAATAGCTTTTCAAAGATAGTAACTAGGGGGCTGAAGTTTCTGCCACGCAAAATTCTAACTGAAGCGCCGGATTGATGGCTCTTGGCTATGGAGGTGTCCCATTGGAGAATATGAATTACGATACACCCGGAGGAGTGCGGGGGAAACCAGGATCAAGGGTGACAATGTCTCAGTGCCGGACATGTTAACTCCCAATAAATCCTTTTGAAGTTTTGGAAGTTTGGCTTGAGACCCATGATTTAAATGGGGGGTGGGGCGGGTAACTGCCGGAATCCTGACGCAGACATAGCTGAGGTCATTGGATAGGAGTCCTTCTTCTTAAAGCTGGTGGTTATTTGGGGTCAAATTGTCTTGGGTCTCCCACCAGAAGGATGGCCTATTTGGAAGATGTCATGGTTTTTTCCGGACGCTGGTTCTCCATGGCAAAAGGTCCACCTTAGTCCACATGGGTGGCCGGGAACAGAAAAACAGTCACGGGCATGCCAGTTTCGACTTCTTTGGGTGGCAGCCATCTTCAACCTCTTGCTAAACCCAGGGGTCCCGAGACCACCCCACACACCTGCAAAGGGACAGAAGAAGCCAGCTGTCTTTCACGTGCTTCCACCAGGACGCCCACCCACATTTCCAAAAGCATTGAAATGCAAAGCTTGCGAGAGGCGTTTTCATGGCGCTGAGCACCCTTCAGTTCTGGCCGTTGCGGCAGGATGAAGATGAAGAGTGTCCAACCTTGGCAACTTTTAAGACCTGCGGACTCCAACTCTCGAAGTTCTGGGAGTTGAAGTCCACCCGATTCTGAGAAGTCCATCCGTCCACAAAGAAGTCCCATAAGAAAATCCACAAGACTCGTGGACTTCAAATCCCAGAATTGCTGGCTGGGGGTATTCTGGGAGTTGAAGTCCACAAGTCTTCAAGTAGCCAAGGTTGGACACCCCTGATGGAGTTTGTGGTGGGATGAGCTTTT